TCTGCAACATATAAAACTGGCACTGTCCACTTTCTAATGATGCAGAATGTTCCTTGGTTATTTGAGTGATTTATGACAAAATAGGCCCTAAACAGGTCAGCAGCTCCTTAAAAGGAACAATTTGTTGTTTTGGCAACAGCTTGGTGCTTAACAGAAGAGGCTTCAGACCTCCAGGTCACACATTTCTCAAACCATAAAAGCATAAAAACTCCATTTATTTACATTAATGTGAACTGATGAGCAGTTTGTGATTTTCTGAATTATTGCAACAAACTCGAATGATGTGTGAAATGAAAATTCCCTGCCTGGTTCACAGAGGAGAAAGACTCTGTTGCGTTCAGTGCGTGGAGGCAGAGATGCACGATTTCAAGCTCAGGGAGACAGCCAGGAAAGTTTACCACACCCAGCAGGCGCTCAAAGATTTTCAAACAAGCACTCCAGGAAATTGAAGTACATTCTGAAGTTTTTTTCAGTTTCCTTACTGTTTTCAATGCTCAGCCCCTTAGGCTAACCTCCCTATGTAGTCAGCTAGCTGGAGCCTGTACAAAGAAATTCTGCTGCATATAAAATACACTGAGTAGGAAAAAAAAAAAAATCCTAAAGATCTTTCTAGATATTTGGAAGGGAAACATTAGACAGCCCGCATTTCCCTTCAAGTTTTTGTGCATCCTGAAAGCTTTTCTTATGATATATGCATTGCTAGACGCCAGCGGCAAACACAGACTCTGATCTGTGCTGACTTGTACATCTTAGGTTTGATCCTGCCTGGTGCTGAGCCGACACTGGTCTGTATGCTTAATTTCTAGCAACTGAACAGTCTCAGAGAAAACTACATTGGGAACATGGAAGGGTCGAAAACTACGTGTGGATTTCCTACACGTTCCTAGTCTGGGGCTCACGTGCTCCATCCAGGCTCTTCTGGGGTTGCCAGAAAATGGTAAATCAATGAAACCATTTAATTTGAACTGGAAGTCTGATATGCTGGTTTTCGGTAATAAAAATTCCCACTTATATTTAATATTATTTTATTAATAAACACTGAATACTGCTTATTAAAAGCTGTGTGTTACTAATAGGTATAGTCATCTATCCTGATATTTATGATTGCTGGAATCTGGCAGTGACAGTCTCTAAAGTTATTTCAATCTTTTGCTTTAAATCTTCCTCTTGGCAATGATTAAAACAGTGACTAGTTTGGCTATGGGTTTATTTACAGTCATTTGAAAGTATTAAATGACAAGGACTTGGAAAATACCGCTCAATGGGAGATTTGGAGAGGCTTGCTCATTTAGCTATTGATTCATGCATCATTTTCTTGACCATTTTCTAAGTATGCACAAACTAGAAAAACAATGAGTTTGCTTATATGTTTATCATCAGTGTTAAGAGGAGAAGCTCACACTAAATCATGAAAACCACTACCCACAAGGTAAGGACAGGTGACCTGACTCATTATACACGTGAGCACACAAACATCTTTACTCACGTGAGCAGAATTCGTGGGGGCTAGTACTTGAATTAGAGGATCTGATAAAACATTCTCTCTTCAAGTTCCTGAGCAACCTGATCTAACTAGCTAGCTCTGCTGTTAGCTGGGGGGCTACGGGGGGAGTGACATATGCTCCAGAGGTTCCTCACAATCTACATTTTTTTCTATTTGATTTACTACCTTGTACAGGGAAGTCCCATTTGCCAGTTCTGTAGCAAAGATGGAAAACCAAAAAACATCCCTCTGCTTCAGCCGCTACAGTTCACTTCAAACTTTAAAATTAAAGCCTTACTAGTGAAAGTGGTTTTGCCCAAAATGCCCAAAAATGCTGGGCCATAGATTGGATCACCAATGGTACAGCCAGGTGTCCCAACATACTCTACAGCACATGAGGCAAAAAAAACAACTGGTATAACAACATCCTATCCCAAAGGGGTCCCAGAAGATGTCCAAGAGAAGCCACAACCCTAAAGAATGTGTAGGATCTAGCCAGAAGGGCAATACATTTCTCTTTTAGAATCAGACAATGCTATTAGTCACAAATTGCTAATAATGCTAATTAAGCTACTAATCCATTCATGAGAAAACTAGGAAAGGAAATCCACAACAAAAGAAGCAGGAGGGGTCAGTTATTTATGAAGCAGTATTAAATTTCAAAACATACAAGTTCTTTTTAGTGGGTAAAAACACTAATATTTTTGTCTAAGTACCTTTCAGCCCAATGACCCACTAATAACAAAGTTCCTCCCTCCTTTGCTACTCAGAGTTTTAAGAAAAATAAATCAGGAGCCCCCATACTTCAAAGGGAACGTACTTCAAAGGGCCCTTCTGCTTTTTCTTTCTACTCCCTCTCTTCCTATCTCTTAAGCAACCACACTTCAACTCACATTTACCCCCGACACTTTAATCAGCCAGAGCATTCACTAACTTTTCGGTGAGGAAACGCACTATTGAGCCCAAATACCTATAAACCACTTAAACAATGAAGCGTAATAATTTCCTGAATTTCAACTCAACATTTCAGGAAATAAACCCTGTAGCCAAACTGAAATTACAGTTAATACTCACAGAAGTGCAGTCATTCCAACAGCGTGGGTTTTTTTTTTTTTTTCAGACAAATTGTATTTTAATGGGCCTAAAGAGTAGATAAAAAAGGTTCATGCACACATATGATTTTTAGGCTTAATCGCCAGAGCTTTGTATTTCTAAAAAAAACCAAAAAAACAACCAAACCACAGTGCTGACTATAATGCATATCTGCAATATACACTCTCTTGTATGTGAAGTACATGTGGAATTCAGGAGTACGCTGTATGTTTAAGGCAGTGAAACACTCCCATATAAAATGCAGTGAGTTTTTTAATTTAAGAAATTAATATATAAAGCATATCCTAGACTGTACCTAAACACTAGTAGGACTCTTTACACCAGTCTTAAACTAATTTAAATCAACAGTAAATCCACTGACTGACAAAAAAAAGCCCTAACAGTACTTAAGTACCAATAAACTCCATACATCTATGATACAGTTAACAAACTCTTTGTTTGATTTAGATCTCACTGTCCCCACTGTCTGCAGCAGAATGAGCTCTTAGATGAGCCACAGTATCAGAAGGAAACTACACAGGGACTGTAGTTTATTCTGATGAATATCTGCTATTTAGTTCGTTTTTAACTTCTTTATATAAGTGTACAAAGGAAAAAAGAGAATAATTTCAGAAAAGTCCTCACAGTCATTTCTTTGTTGCTTTTATAGCTCTTTCCTGTCCTATTTTTGTCAACATTAGCTAACAAACATATACGAACACATTTTGTTATTCAGACCACCACTCCTACTGAATTAAACAAAACCTTTCACAGGAACGAAGTTACTCCTGTTCACAGCGGTTTGTAGGATCTGAACCATGTATTTCAAATGCTTTGGATTAGTTCCTTTCTTACCCTGCTACTAAAAGAATGCGTATACCAGCAACAGACAGAAAAATAAAAGTCACAGCCTACAGAGTTTTGAACACAATAAAATGTCAAGATTTTGATGTTCCAGTTGCTTTCAGTGTTAATCAGCTGGTGCTGTGATAGGCACTTAAAATATTTTATGTCAAGAATAAGAAATTATTTTGCAGTTGCCATTATGGTTATGAAGAAAATAAGTGATGTTCACCAAAGAAAGTCAAATAAAGGAAACAAAGGCTTATGATAAGTATCTAATTCCACCCTCAAAAAAACCAAAAATCCCCATGAGATGGGCCGCAGCAGGCGAGACCAACTGCCTGTTTAGCCCCATATTCTCTCTCTCAGTCTCATCTGACTCCAGATGTTTAGAAGTGCAAGGGCAGACAATACCATTTCAAAGAACCACAGAGTAATATGGAAGGGATGGGACTTCTGGAGGTCATCAAGTCCAGCCCCCTGTTCAAGCTGGGCTTCCCAGTCTGACTCCTGCCAAAGATCTCACACTCTCAAGCAGTTCTTGGTTCGGGAATTTCCTTAGCTAGAAGCAATGCCTTTGCACTTTCTCCATTATCTACTAGCAGATAGTCCAAGAAAATCCTAATTTACTGCCTCTGAAATTCCTTATCTTAATTCTTGGTGATTTATGTGTCCAAAGACCTCAGTTTCAACTCCTCCTCTCTCCTCTGTAGCTCCACTACCAAGGCTCCGCAGGACAGAGGGCACACCCCATTACACATCCCATAAACTCGTTCAGAAGTCCAAAATGGCCAGTTCAACACTCCAAAGAGAAATAAGGGAAATTACACAAGACGGTGTTACTCAGCTGTCTGCTGTCTTTGTTATTTCCCTCAAATTTCAGTGTTTATATATTCCAATAGAGAAAAGCTGGTTTTTTTAAACAAAAATAACAACTCAAACAAACAGAAAACAGTGCAGTTGAACGCCGAACGCCCAACACCTATTGTCACAGACCCCAGGGTGGCAGCGTCATCGATGTCCGCAGTCTATTTCAGTAGCACCAAGGACCTACCAGCACCAGTCTCACCCTCAGTTTCATGTCAAAATAAAAACTAGTTATTCTTTGTTGTAAAAGAATACTGACCATCACCTCAGTCCAACTCTGAGTCTAATTCCAAGAAAATCTATGGGCGTCCTTCCACTGAGTTCTGCGGGAGCTGAAATGGTTTCACAGAGTGCTTACGACCTACAGCTTTCAAACAGAAGTGTGCAAATATTACCGCTTTACAAGTGGGGAAACTGAGGAAAGTGATTTGACTGGGTTTAGTCAGAAGATAAGTGAGATACAGCTGTTCCCTGGCTCCTGCTGTACCTGCGGGCTCACACAGCCTTGCTCCAGCACACCGTGCTGTACGTGGTCACTCTACACACCAACACGTGGTCACAGTCAATAGCATGAAGTTTAAAATCAAACTAGTAACTTCGTATTACCCCCCGTAAAAATCTCTGCACTGGCCTCTCTCCCTGCTGGACAACTGACTGGCACGGGCAGATCATAAACGCGCTGGCTGACGCTGGATGCTCCCTCGCCGTTACTCACCGATCCAGCAACGCGAGCACCCAACCATAAAACCGGTTTTGAGCCCCGCCGTACCCTGGCAAACCTGGACCAGGGCGCGTAGGTGCGGTCCCGGCAGGTGCCGGCATTCCCGCCGCCCACGGAGAGCGGCCCGTGAGCTCCTTAGTTACCTCCCCGCCAGCCCCACCGCGCCGCCCAGCCCAGCCCAGTCCAGCCCAGCACAGCGCGGCCGCCCTTCGGCTGTGCGCAGCGAACCGGCTGTGCGGACCAACAACGCGCTCAATCTGGCTCCAATTATCC